CATGTCCCCACCAGTACTGTATCCCAGTATTAATACAGTGACAGACCTGTCCCCACCTGTACTGTACCCCAGTGTTATACAGTGACAGACCTGTCCCCACCGGTACTGGACCCCATTGTTATGCAGTGACAGACCTGTCCCCATCGGTACTGGACCCCAGTGTTATACAGTGACAGACCTGTCCTCACCAGTACTGTACCCCAGTGTTACACAGTGACAGACCTGCCCCCACCAGTACTGGACCCCAGTGTTATACACTGACAGACCTGCCCCCACCAGTACTGCACATCAGTGTTACACTGTGACAGACCTGTCACCACAGTATTGTACCCCAGTGTTATACAGTGACAGACATGTCCCGACCAGTACTGTACCTCAGTGTTATACAACGGCAGACATGTCCCCACTAGTACTGTACCCCAATGTTATACTGTGACAGACCTGACCCACTAGTACTGTACCCCAGTGTTAAACAGTGACAGACCCATCCCCCACCAGTACTGTACCCCAGTGTTAAACAGTGACAGACCCATCCCCCACCAGTACTGTACCCCAGTGTTATACAGTGACAGACCTGTCCCCACCAGTACTGTACCCCAGTGTTAGACAGTGACCGACCTGCCTTCACCTCTTGCTGGCACCACCTTGGTGTTGAGTCAACTCTTTCCTCTTCACTTTAGATGACTAGCATGAAGGTGGCACAAATGAGGATGTGCTGTAATCAGCATATCTGCCTTCAGGTATACAAAGGTTTTAATTTGAATTTTGTAACGTTTTGTATGTATATACATATACTGCCAATAAATCCAAGTGTTTCAAATGTTCTATGTATTTTTCCAAAACAATACATGAAGTGAAATGAAATTCACCAGATTTGGTATAATACCTCCAACACAGATCTTACTTTGAGACAGTAAGGACTGCAGATGCTGGAAGCTAGAATCAATAGATGTGAAGCTGGAAAAGCATGGCAGGTCAGACAGCATCCGAGCAGTAGGAAAGTCAATGTTTTGGGCTGAAACCCTTCATCAGGACTGAGGTGGGAGCCCAGAAATAAACAGAGGGAGGGAGATGGGGCTAGTGGTAGGGTAGGTGAGATGGAGATAGGTGGATGCAGGTAGGGTGTTATTGTGGTTGATCATTGGGAAAGGTGGAGCGGATAGGTGAGTCAGAAGATGGACAAGCTGGTGAAGTCAATATTCAGGCCATTGGGTTGTAAGCTTTCAAGGCGAAATATGAAGTGTTGTTCCTCCAGTTTACGTTTGGCCTGACTCTGTCAGTAGAGGAGGCCAAGGATGGACATGTCACCAGGGGAGTGGGAGGGAGAGTTAAAGTTGGCAACCGGAAGGTTGGGTTGGTTGTGTGTGCACAGCACAGATGCGCTGCGAACAGGTTCCCGAGTCTACGTTTAGTCTCCCCGATATAGAGGAAACCACGTTGGGTGCACCTGATTCTGTAGATGAGGTCAGATAAAGTGTAGGTGAATCTCTGCCAGATTTGGAAGAATTGTTTGTGGCCTTTGACAGAGGTGAGAGGGGAGGTGTAGCACCTCGTGTGGTTCCAGGGAAGGGAACTGGGTGTGGTGGAGGGGTTGGTAGGGAGTGTGGAGCTGATGGAGTCGCGGAGTGAACAGTCCCTGCGGAAAGCGGACAGGGGTGGGGAGGGAAATATCTTTTTGTTGGTGGGGTCTGATTGTAGGTGGCAGAAATGTCAAAAGATGATGTGTTATATTTGGAGGTTGGTGGGGTGGTATGTGAGGACTAAAGGTCTGTATCCTTGTTAGGGGGAGAGGGTTTGAGGGCAGAAGTGCAGGAAATAGGGGAGATGTGGTTGAGGGCATCCTTAATAACAGATGGGGAAACTACGGTGTCTAAAGTAGGAGGATATCTGGGAAGTCCTAGAGTAGAATGCCTCATCCTGGGAGCAGATGTGCAGGAATTGTGAGTATGGGATAGAATTTTTGCAGGAGGGTGGGTGAGAGGAGGTGTAGTCGAGGTAATTATGGGAGTCAGTGGGTTTGAAATGGATGTCAGTGGTGAGTCAATTACCGGAGATGGAGAGGGAGAGATCCAGGAAGGGGAGTGAGGTGTCAGAAATGGTCCAGGTGAATTTGAGGGCATGGTGGAAGGTGTTGGCGAAGTTGATGAACTGTTTGAGCTCCTCACAGGAGCACGAGACAGTACTGATGCGGTCATCAATAAGGCAGAGAAAGAGGTGGGGGATGGTGCCAGTGTAGTTGTTGAAGAGGGACTGTTCCTCAAATCCTACAAAGAGGCAGACATAACTCGGGTCCATGTGGGTGCCCATGGCCACCCCAAAGATTTGTAAGAAGTGGGAGGAATCAAAGGAAAAATTGTTCAGGGTGAGGACCAGTTCTGCCAAGTGTATGAGAGTTTGGTGGAGGGGGACTGGGTGGGCCTACAGG